TACTGATAAGTCAATTAAGACATCAGAGGAGAAAATGTGAATTTTCACAATTTAATTTAATTCATATAATTATTTTTATGCAAAAATATGCATCTTCAAAGAAAATTCCAAAAGATAATCAAGACAACTTTTAATCACTTGAAATTTTTATGTAAGCTAACCCTAGACTAGAAAGTCATTTTCCCAAAATTTCATAATTTTTTGAATTTTTTGTGATTTATTAAAATTAATTTGAGTTTTGGAGATTTTAATGAAAATAAAATATTTTATAAGTTGATAAATATGTTTTATATTTTTGGAAAATCTCTCTAAGGTCAGGGAACCCAGAGAAATTTATTTTCTATTTTTTTTATTTTTATTTAATTTTTTAGAATTATTTTGGTGAAGATTCTATTTTTAAGCCTTAAAAATCATTTTAAGGTTTTTAAAAGTAGATATCTTTATTTTTAGACCTTGCAAAAATATTCCAATGATTCCTAAGTATTTAGGAAATAATTTGAAACATTTCCATGAGTTTAATATTTTATGATTTTTTTTATTATTATTTTTAATTATTAAAAATAATTAAAAATAATCTAAAAAACAAGTTTTTATTTTAAATATATTTTATTTTTATTAAATCCCCCTGATATCAGAGAGCTCAAAAAACTAAGTTTGGTAATTTTTGTAATTAAATTTTGATTTTTCAAAAATTATTTAAGTTTCAAATGTGATGGTCATCTTTAAAAATCAATAAAAAATATTAAATGATCTCAAAATGACTTGAAATTTTTATGGTGAATTCTTTGATTTATGAGTCACAGTGGAGAATAAAAATCAAGTGATTTTGATCTCTGCGTGTTTCAAAATAAATGTTTTAAGAAAATTAGAGTTTGCTCAAAATAGTGATGTTTTAATTTTTATAAATTTTGAAATTATTTTATAAGACTACTCTAGCTATAAGAAACTTATATGAATTTTTTTAGAATTTTCTAAGCTACATAAAATTTTCTATAATTATTTGAATAGAAAATGCATAAAAACTTAGAAAATTAAGATCTCTATCAAAAAATCTCTTATGTCTTTGGCAAAATACTCAAATTTTGCACCTAGACAGAGGCTACAACATA